GGAATTGTAAGCCATGTGTGGGAGCCGTGGACTCTGCACAGAGCTGGGGTGAGGGGAGCAGCAGAGCATGGGGATGCTGCACCCACAGCAGGGGTAGGGAGCAGGGCAATTCCCCTACTGCTGCGGCTACCAAGAAGGAGCTGCATGACCTCCCAGCTCCTGCTTCCCCCACAGCAATTGTCTCTGTCAATAAAGGGCAGAGCCCAGCCACAGCTCCTCGGCCTGCATCTTCCCCCCAAGTGCTGAGCTGTGGGTGCTGGGCCCGGCCCCCAGGCCTGGGCAGTGACCCGCCGTTCCGCCAGCCCCAGATAGAGCCGAGGGACCCCAGCACCGGATCCCTGCGGTGGAAACAGCTGCCGTCCTGCCATGGGGACATCCTCGGGTACCAGGTACTGGGCAGTGGACTCTAGTGCGTGGCCCAGCCAGGAGCCCGGTCTGCGCCGGGGGGCAGGGACTGCGCAGGGAGAGGTGGCAGGTGCAGTTGAGCATCTCCCAGGAGGCCGTAGGCACCCCCTGCTGCTCTTCCTGACATGATAGGACTGACCCGCCCACCGCATGTCTGTGCTGTCCATGATGCTCAGAGCCTGTGTTTGGTCCCTCTACTTCCTCTGCATCCAAAGAAATAACGGTGAAGGGCCGGCACTGGGCTCCTGTCAGCTCCTCATGCTGCTGCACGTGGTGGCAAGGCCCACCCATCCCTGGGACCATGGCAAACAGGCAGCCCCCTGGGAGATGTCCTGGTGCATCAGGGCCATCCTGCTGGCCATGGGATAGCTCTGGCTGGGTCCCAAGGTGGACCCCCATGCTGCCCGTGCAGCGCAGGGCTGTGGGTGGGGGCACACTCCCTCCCGGCCCCGGGGACACAGTGGGGTTCGCTGCCCCTGTTACTGAGCGGGGATCAGGGCAGGCCTGAGTCCTCCCAGTGCTGCGCTGTTCCCTGCAGCTGAACATCACGGCTTGGAGAGAGAACGATGATGGATTCTTGGAGGAGCAGGTGGTGCAGGTGAACCCATCGGTCACTGAGTACAGGCCGCCCCACTGGAGACCCGGGACCAACTACACGGTGACAGTCCAGGGCCTTACAGCTGCTGGCCTGGGGAAGGCATCGCAATGGGCCTTTGAAACGGATATCTCAGGTAATGGACTCTGCCCCCAGGGTGTGCGTTGGGGCTGAGAGTAGCCTGGAGCCCCCATATGCCAGGACCATGGGTGTCTGTGTTGCAGGGAAGCAGGAGTCCAAGCCGGCGGGGATCACGCCAGGGTACGTGGCCATCGCTGTGGTCATGCCACTGGTGCTGGCTGCTGGGGCCCTGCTGCTGTGGGTTGTGCTCTCCAGGTCAGTCTGGGGCATGTCTTAGGTCTGCTCTGCCCATCCCTGACAACTGCTGGGGGTGCAGCAGGGACAGCAGCAGGTGGGTCATAGTCCTTGGTGCTCCCTGGGGGGCTGCTCCAAGGGCAGAGGTGTAGGGACCCCAGCCCACCCCTGTGCACAGCTGCATAGCTGGGTTAGTGGTCCAGGGGACTATGACACCCTGGTGCTCACATGACCCTTACCAGGCTCTAGTCCCAGTGCCATCCAAAATCACGCCTCACATCTTGGTATCGTTTGATTAGAGGGGAGGCTGCCTAATGGGTACTCCTGGCCCTGGCTCTGGACCTTACCCAGTTTTTTCCCAAGCTAAGCTTCATTCTTTGTCCCTTTTCCTCTTTAGACTTTAAACTCCACCCCCCTACCTCCACTTTCTCGCCGCAGGCCTAGGCCTACGGTATGCCCTGAATCAAGGCTGCTAGCTGGTCTATAAACACTGGCATGCCTCTTAACACTTTAACCTAGGACAAAGCCTTCTGGAAAATACAAACTCTACCTCGTTTGGGTCCAAACACAAACCATGGCTACCTGCCTGTATGACAAGGACTCCCCTTGCCCTGGAGCTATTCCCCTGTGGGCACCAGCACCCTGTTGGCCTGCCTTCACAGCCGTCTCCAGTACCAGCTAGCAGAGCACCTGCGTTCCCCTTGCCCTGCAGCTCTTGTCCCAGCAACCTCCAGGGCCAGACTTCCCCTCTGGGCTCAAAACCTGTGCTCATACACCTCCCTGGCCCTGACCCTGGGCCCAGGCCTGGCCCTGGCCCTGCCATGCAGGTGCTTCCCTGGGCTGTCCCAGGTGTTTCCTGGTTCACCTTGCAAGCTCAGCCTCAGGGTGACTCATTGCTGCTGATCTGTGCTGTGCTCCTGTCCTGTCTCCTGTGCAAGGCTCTAGCCCACGGCGCTGCAGTAGCAATGCTAGTTCTGTGTTAAGGGCTGGCATCAGGTAACTCCCCCAGTACCACTTCTCTGGCAGCTCATAATAAGCAGCTTTATCTACCTGAGGTTCTCTCTTCTGCTCCTTCACCCTTAAAATAAAGTACCAGCCTATAAGAGATCCTTTGGCTCTCTCTTATAAGCTGGTACTTCCTCTCCTAGTCTCAGCTGTGCTGGGCTGGGCTGGGACCGTTCTTACTTGACAACCTTGTCCTCTGTTGGCCAGGAGCAGGGGGACACACCATGTTATGGGTCCCTCTGGTTACTGCAGCACAAACCCTGTGGGGACATACAGCTGCTAAGCCCCTGCCCTGCTCCCTTCCACGAGTGGTGCCAGGTCCAGGACGGTGGCACAGAGGTGCAGTTGGGCACTGCACTTTGCCCAGGTTCAGGACACTTCTTTCCTCTTGCAGGCAGCACCAAGCCACGGCAAGCAATGCAGGCCAGGAGCACCATGCAGGTAGGACCCCAGGGTCCCTCCCCCCATCCCCCACACACACACACAACCTGGCTGCTGCCAGTTCCTGGAGGCCATGGTCTGGGAGAAGTGCGGCCCCTCCTAGTTTGGGACTGCCTGAGGGGCACTGTGGTACCCAAAGCAGGGCAGATGCCAGTGGGTCCAGAACCCCCATGGCACACAAGCACTCCATTTCTTGGGGGAGGCAAGATGCACCAAGTTGCCCGTGGAGCCCAAGCTGGGAGACTGACATTTTCCTGCTTCCCCCCATCACAGAGCTGCAGCCCCAGGACCCGTCAGATATTTCCTGCTAGTTCCAGGGCCCTCTGACACCAGTGCCCTAAGCTGCAGAGAAGGGCATCCCTGCCGTGGCACTGAAGGCCTGAACCCCCACCAGGCTGGTTGTGAATGGTGACCCTCTCCCCTCTGCAGTTAAGGACTGCCCAGGAGGCGGGGCAGTAGCCATGATGAAAACTTTCAGAGAAGCTGGACCATCTGAAACTCACGCTCTCTCTCTTGGAAATCATGTTCAATGAACTGCCTGCCTCCAGAGGGAATCTCCACCTGCCTCTGGATGATACTTGTCAGTAAGTTACCTGAGATCTAACTAGATATATAGCTTGCGGTAACTCATATGCGTAATCAAAGGCTACCTGGCCACCCTGTTTGTTCTAAGGGATTTCTCTGATATTGTTCTACCCTCTACCCTATTCCCAGCCTACCCCTTGTAACCAATAAAGTTATCCTTTGTACCTAGCATGGGAGACTTACTGGGAGTGAGTCTAGATTATGCCTTGGAGTCCCTTTGGTTCGTCTGACTATTTGAAGCACTATTTGTGCTTCAGAGTGAAGGAAGAACACAAGTTCTTGCAGTGGGTAAAGACTACTAGGCCTGTGTTTCCCAGGGGACACAGGGCCAAAAATCAATCCAGACCCTGGGTGGTGGCAGTGTTACCCCCAGGGTTGCAGGTATGCTCCAGGAAGGGGGTCAGCCAGACATGAGGCATCCCAAGGGAGGCACATGGAGCCTGGAAGGTGGTTGGGCACAGTGAGGCGGGTGGCTCAACGCAGGAGCGCCCCCTACTGGCCTGCCACATCCTCCACCCACTCAGTGCAAAATCAAGTCTGAGGAATCCCAAGTCACCCCCTATCCATGGCCTCTGCCTTTCCTCCAGCTACAACCCAGCCACTGGGGGAAAACAGATACCAAAGAAGATGAGCACCAGTCCCAGCTCAAAGAAGTGTCTGCATGCAGCTCACAGCACCCCTTGGGGCTTGGCTCCGAGTGGAATGGAAGACACAACAGAAAGGGCTCGGAGGACTTAGCTTGCTTCCTTTGCAGGTCCAGCTTTTCTTCCCCTAGGGGAATCTCCTGAGTCCTCTAGTCACAGTCTGGATGTGAAGATTGATTCTGCAAGAGCTTGGTCTGTACACAACCTTGATTGCACCGAAGAAATCCCACTTCACAACAGCTTTTCTGTGTTCAAGCCTGTTGCTGATCAGGCCATCTAGTAGGATTTGTACATTTCAGGATGCAAAGGACATTTTTTGTGTTTCAACTGCCATTTTAGTGATGCCCCTGGAAGCAGCTATCCAGTTGGGTAAGATAAGGAGGGACAGCCTATGTTTGGGGCCCCTCTTCTAGCCCCTTCCCCAAATGAGGTGAGCACAGCAGATTCAAAAAGGACTGAGCAGTGATGATGACCACTGCCAAATCACCCTCCTGTCCCATTCCAAGGGTGAAGCAGCCAACAGGTGACTGCCACCTGCATGTGGATCTATGACTGATTCCCTGGCAGGTCTTCAGCTTCTCATGGTCTTCAGAAAATGTTTCCTGTTGCGTTCTATGCCTCCTGAATGTTTATTCTCCACTTCTTGCTGGCCTTGTCTCGTTACAGTCTGACACTTGATTGGCTGGCGTTTCTGCCCTTTCTCATTTTCCTCCATAGGTTTGACTTCCACTGTCAGAAAGAAACCTTTTTCCTGCTTCTCCACTGCATCCATTACCCAATACTGGCTGTTCCAATAAGATGTTCTGAAGCAGTTCCCAGGCTGCTTGCATGGGCTTCTCCTCCTCAGGACCTCTCTTCTCCCCTGTCTCATTGGCTCCTCCCTATGGTGCAGTCTCCCTTCTTCAAGGTAAAGGTGGCTGGGGAAGTTTTTGTCTTATCTTCCCTCCCATGTGGATGTCAAACCCAACCACACTGTGGTAGCTTCAGCCGAGCAGCTCAGGGACACTCACCCCTTCCCCCAAATCCTGTGCAGGACTTAGGGCTGGGTCAGGAAGAGCCTTTCCTCCTTCAAGCTGTAACACTGCCTGCTTCATAGAGCAGTTCCTTATAAAACCAAGAAATGTGGTCTCTACACCCTGTGCCCAAGGCTTCTGCACTGACAGCGGAGCATGAGGTAGCTGACAGTGCATCCCTGCCCCCAGATGAGCACTCAGTCTGTTCTCAGTGGTGCCACTGCTGGCCACCTGGCCTCTGCCTCTCTTCACCATCATCATGGTGCTTTCAGCCCAGATCTATGTTCTGCAAGGATCCCGCTGCATGCAGGTCCTGCCATCCAGAGAGCCTGCAGCCTTCCTAGCATTGGAGCCCGAGCCCAAAGGCCAATGAATCTGAAGGGCAATACATGCATCCTGTCTTCCATGTGTCAGGATGGAGCTCACAGTTTTCAAGTGCCAGTAAAAAATGTTTTGTGCGTTAGCAACCCTGGTTTCCTCAGGCAGCAAGGAAGCCTCTCCCTTCACATCCTCTTGGAAGGGAATACAATTTTTACCAGGGCGCCTGTCAGGGTAACTAGTAAAAATGGCCACAAACTGAAGGAGCAAATTCAGATTGGACAACAGGAAAAAATTATTTACAGTGAGGGTTTCCAAAATATGGAATAAGCTTCCAAGGGAGGTGGTGCAGTCCCCTTCCTTGGCAGTGTTTAAAAGGAGATTGGACAGACACCTGGCTGGGGTCATCTGATCCCAGCCCTCATTCCTGCCCAGGGCAGGGGGTCGGATTCGAAACTCTAATAGGTCCCGTCTGACCCTCACATCTATGAAACTGAAACTATGCCACTGCTATGATTTTGGCCATTTTCTATATCTTCTCACCTCTTGCTTGTCCTGAGCTCCTGAAGAAGCATTCAGAAACACTGAGAAGCAGCGTAAGGCTGAGGTCTGCCTTGGGATGTTGTAGTGACATGGCCCTGCAGGTGCCCACTCTGCCTAGTCTCGTAGCTCTGCCTGCCCTCCTGTTTGTGCAGGAACCAGCACCATTGGGTAGGACCTGACTCACGTTTGCTGCTTGGATTTTCCCACTGGTCTGGGAGCAGCCATTCCAGGAGAAGGCTGCAATCCATGTCCATGCCAGTTCCTGTGGGGTGCAGGCACCAGGCAGAGAGGTGGTAGGAGGCAGGAAGCCATGGTTTCTCCAGGAGGCAGCAGACAGCTGGGGCCACATGTGCTTCTAGGGACCAGGTCATGTTCCTGGGAGCCGCAGACGGGCATTCTCAGATAAGGGGAGAGCTGTCCCCTGCATGGGGATCCTCGAGTCTAGCCTCTGTCACTTGCTCTTGGTCTGGCTTGTGACTGGGATTGGGAGCCAGAGCTCAGGGGTCAGCCCCATCTCAGCTGAGAGCCCCTCACTGGGCTGCCATCAGCCCATCTCTTGCCTGCTCCCTTCTGGACCATGGATCTTGCCTTTTCAGCTGCCCAATGGCCTGGCTTCCTCAGGAGGTGGGAAGAGTGCTCCTGTCCCTGCCTCACCGCTGCTGGGTGGTCAGGCCAGTTATGCTCAGGTAACCTGTCTGCGTTTCACCAGCTACATCCTATCACCAGGTCAATATTCTCCACTCCCCCACCCACTCCCTACCTGTCTCACACCCATTATCTGCCATTCCCTCTGATCCTCACTGACACACATTTGCATTTTCACAGACCTGCATTTTGCATATTGACTTCTATTCTACCCTGTAGAGCACAGCAAACTCTCCCTATGCCTGAAAAAGGGTGTTTGTGCCAAAGGCTTGCAATGAACATTTTTCTCTACTATTTAGTTGGTCTACTAAGAAATATCACATCTACCCAAAGAACCTTGTCTGTCCTTCCCCTCTATTCAGACATGGTGAAGCCACAGCTGGAGTCCTGTGTCCAGTTCTGGGCTGCTCACTACAGAAAGGATATGGAAAAATTGAAGAGAGTCCAGTGGAGGGCAACGGAAATGATTGCGGGGCTGGAGTACATGATTTGTGAGGAGAGGCTGAGGGAACTGGATTTATTTAGTCTGCAGAAGAGAACACTAAGGGGGGATTTGGTAGCAGCTTTCAACTCCCTGAAGAGGATGGAGCTGGACCGTTCTGAGTGGGAGCAGATGACACGACAAGGAGTAATAGGCTCAAGTTGCAACAAAGGAGATTTAGGTTGGATATTAGGAAAAACCCTCTCACTAGGAGGGTGGTGAAGCACAGTAACAGGCTCCCCAGAGAGGTGGTGCAGTCTCCATCCTTAGAGGGTTTTAAGGCCTGGCTAGACAAAGCCTTGTCTGAGATGATGTAGTTGGGGCTGGTCCTGCTTTTAATAGCTTGTAAGGCTGGAAGAGACCTCAGAAAATCATCAGATCCATCCCCCCACACCAAGCAGGAAAGACAACTGGGGTCAGGTGACCCCAGTAAGGTGACTGTCCAGTCTCCTCTTGAAGACATCCACGGTAGGCAATTTCACCACCCCATCCCACCCCCCTTTGAGCAAGAGTTGGTCTAGAATGGGAATCATAGACAATGAGGGTTGGAAGGGACCTCAAGCATTCACATCTAGTCCAGCCCCCTTCTCAGAGCAGGACCAGGACTAGGTGACTCCTGATGCCCCTTCCAACCCTCATTGGGCACCTGTACACACCACAGGGTTTAATCCTCACTAAATTAAGTAGGTTTATAAAATTTAAACTTGTTTATGTCAGAGCACTGCATCAGTGTTTGCATGCCCTAGGTTTTCAAATGAATTAAGCTTTAGAGAATCGCATCAGTTTTTGTATGCACTAGATTTTCAAAAAAATTCAATTCAGTCCCCAGCCAGCACCACAGGAGAGTGATATGGCCAGCGCCTCCCTCCCTGGCCCAGGGCCCAATACCCCGTGACCTGCCATGCAGCTGTGGTAGCAGGGAGCCAGCAAATGGCACAAGGGGGAAAAAAGCAGAAGCAATTCAAAGGGGTGAACTGCAAAAAAGTCACAGTGCTATCTGGTGGACATAGAGGTTCATTACTAGACGTGCACTGATACATCAGTCTGATATTGGATCAGCACTGATATAAAGAAAATTGCCTCTATCAGAAATCGGCCTGACGTGGCCAATAATTTGGCCGATAAATGCACCGTACTTGCCTGCAGCCGTAGCGCAGCATGCAGGCAGCGAGGAGCACAGATCAGCAGCTTGGAGAGCTGCGTGCAGCTGGTAAGTCTGTTGTGGTGGAAGGGGAGGGGGGAGGGAAGGGGTGTGAGGGGACAGATTGACACTCCCCACGGTGAGGGAGGCAGTTGGGTTTGGGCTCAGGCATCCACTGCCCAGCCAGAGCAGAGCAGGGCAGGGCACGGGACAGAGCCGCAGTTCATCCAGAGGGCCCAGGGAGGGTAGGGAGCTCCCACTACTCTGTGCACCCAGGACG